ACATTTTGCTAAGCACATAGCTCTAGTGTGCGCCGGCCTTTAGATATTTGGCGTAAGTGGCACGAATGACAAAAGTCGTTCGTAAATCGCCCGCACACGAGAGCTATCTCCTTACGCCAACAGTCTAGTGTGCGCCGGCCTTAAAGTGTCTTCGCCGTCGTTATCAGTTTCACTTAAAATAGAGTAGCGATTCTGAGTTTGTATACCGCTAGTGCATACCGCTCTGCTTGAATTGCTTTTGTCGCTGGGGAATTATCACTTTGTCTTTTAACAGCATTCAATGGTCCGGTCTCTTCACATTTTTTACCTTCCTGTAAAATCTTTATCGTTGTAACTAAGCTGTTCTTCTCGTTGTCCAAATCTTTTATCTTCGTCTTCAAATCCAATATCATCATTTTAAAACCATTAACTTGTTCAGCGAGCACCATGTTTTTTTTTTAATGAAGTATTTTCGCTCTTTAGAAAAGCGCTATACTCGGTTGATTGTAATGCATCGTTCGGTTCATGGTTTAATTGCTGTAAGCTTGCTGAGCTTAGTTCTTCAATTTGGCTTGCCAACTTTTCAAGCTTACATTCCAGCCGTTCTTCAAGACTCTGTACTAGTTCAATAACAGATGCAGAAACGGCAGGACTTTGGGTGGCAGGGTTCCCAAGGGTATAACTAAGTAATACACTCTCACATTCGGGTTCGTCGTCACTCTCCACGACCTCGCTAACTTTGGGATGTTGACTCGCTGCAGCATCAGATTCCGCCACACATACAGCTGCTTTCAACTGCGACTTTAGATCTTCGCTTCCCTCTCCGTTGATAGTCAACGATTTGTTCTTCATATACCATCTCACACATAGGTCGTCAACCTCCAGCTTCTTGCAATCTCCGCCGGATGAATTCCATACTGTCTGTTTCTCAAGTATATTGTTCATCATAATTTCTAAATTTTCGAAAGTGCCGCTCCATTTGAACTTTCCTTTATCGCTTACTGTTAAATCTCGAAGAACATTCTCAAAATTGTCGGAGCTCGCAACTAGACATCCGCTCTCCATGACGTTCATGGTCAGCGAAATGCTATGGACTATATAGTGCTAGCGAAATGCTATGGACTATATCATGCTAGCGAAATGCTATGGACTATACAGGGTGTATCAAAATAAACGCAATTCATCTTTTGTGCTTAATAACTTTCGAAATACTACTTCTAGTTAAACGCTTTTAGGCTTACTTCAAAGCCTGTTCTTTTCTCTTTCAAACAAACTATTATCCTTGTCTCCAATGCTAGTAATAATTGCACAGAAAAAGATTTAGTAAAACCTATCATTTTTAGTTGCTGTTTAATTATGCAAGTTTACTATGTTATTGTTTAGTCGGTTTAAATGTTAGAATTTTCTTCTTTAAACTTTAATGTTATCGTCACTACATCTGGAAAACCACGTAAGAACAAATTAAAAGTATTTTAAAAGAGACCAGGTTGTTTGAAATCCTAAACGAATGCTAAAAATCGTCAAAACATTCTGGTGTCTGAGCCAGAGTGTCATCGAATTGCGATGTAATGTAAACAGAAATTATAGCAAGTTGATGTCAGTCAGCTTAGATGGTCAAGCCAAAATTATATCGCATTTGAAGTTTCAAACTGAGTTAAAAATAGTGGAAGAAAAGCCGTAATTATACTTATTGTTACAATCCATTTAATAAAATGCAACATTTTTTTGTTTTAATGAAAAATCAGTTATTTTCATGAGAACGATTTGTTATTCCATCTCAATTTTTTTAATCTCCAATCGCAATAACGTAAAGTATTATTACCCGCGAACCAATGAGTCAAATTTAAGAAACAACCCACTGTTAGAAAGCTGAATGGCTATGCTTTAAAATGAATGTAAACTTTAACGTTTTCATCTATTATTTATTTAGCAATTTACATTTTAGTCGAGGATTGCGCTTTTTTTGATACACCCTGTATAGTATGGCGATGGTTAAATTAAAAGACCCATAGATATCTTATATACACTAGATAGTGCATCTAATTATTCTGCAATTCAAAAGTTGAAGCCGTGATTGCAGTCTCAGGTCGTTCCCATGAAACGAGAAGATTCGTATGTTTTCTATTTCTTAAACAGGGAACTTAAACATTAAGTTAACCCTATTACAAATACGTTTTTAAACTATTGAAATGATGAAAGTAATTGTTGCTTTTAAGCGTTTACGGCAAGTGGGAACGACCAATATGGCCGCCATCTATTCAAATGGGGGTATCCGCTGGAATATTCTTGGCTTCAATTTTAATAAATGAGATGCGCTATCTAGTGTATATAAGATATCTATGAAAAGACCGTATTATCAGGAACGAATGAAGCGAAACGTCGCGTTACAATGACTTGCTTATATCGTAGCTCAGCTAATACTTTCCCATGAGCAGGACAACTCATTTCAGTCTAAGTTATATTCAACATATTCGTTCCAACGGAATACGTAAACGGACTTTACGAAGCCAGTACAAAAAGTACCAAATTGTTCGGCATCAACCGACGAACAACAAGATCGCGAATTACTGAATTGGGCATTGAACAAATACATTACCAAATACTTCGTCGGCTTCGCTTTGTTTCGCGGCGCACGGTTTCTGCTTGACGTTGTTTTCGGCGACTTCGTCGTGTCCTAGACGACTGGATTTCCAACTTGATCATTTTGGATCGTCTTTAGACGTGAGCTTCACCATAGAGCCATGACTGACCTACTTACTGCATGGGCAGAGCGTTTAACAAACTGACCCTGAACTATTGAGATCCCCTTGTTTTATAGCCAATGTTACGCATGATTGCACTTCGAATAGAACGCTTGACTCTGTTTACACGTACAAATAATAGAAAGGGATGAAACCCCCGATCGTGAAATATTTCGAATGGATATAACTGGCGTGTTTCTAAACCAAAACCTTTTATTTTTTGTGTACAGTTTAGATATGATACACTTAGCATACCTGTACAAAGAAATTTTAAGAAACGGCTATTAAACCGAAATTTTTGGGAATACAAATTTGGCTTATTTTGTTTCAACGTGCACCGCAACACATGGTGACGGAAGTGACGTAGTTACGTACTTACAAAGATATTACGCATGACGAAAGCTATTATTTTTATGACTAGAAGTTACTAACGCAAGGAAGTGCTGCCTCGCGGCAAAAACTTTGGGTTAACACTATAATGGAAACATAACACTATTATAATTTTTAAACAATGAAAATCGTATTTTATTGTAACAATCGCGTGCATATATGTTACAACAATATTCTAATTCTCTAAAATTAAGAAAACAGTTCTCTGCAATGAAACGGGTCCATTTTCTGAGCATTCCAAACAATAGTAGCTAGTAGAAATTAAGTAATAATGGATCATTCCACGGCTTATTTCTCCGACAATATATGTATAATATCATGATTGCGGGTATTCCCTTTGTTCTCACAGGGCAATCAAAAACTAATACGCCTCATCATATTCATTTTTTCTAATCCCACCCGCTTTTACGTCATGTCAGAGAGGATTAATTCTAATCCTACCCGATACGACGTCAAAGCGGGGTACGATTAGAAAAAATGAATATAATTGAAGATATCTGAAATCGCCAAAACTAAACAAAGACATGGAAAACAATTATACCATTAAATTTCTACCATTATTTATTGTTACAATTATTTATTATAAGGTAATAGCATAAAAAGAGGCGAATTAGCTATTGAAAACGTCCGGCCCTCGGGAATTTTACTAAATAACCCTCATCGAGCGGCGCCCAAGGGAATTTTACTAAACGACCCTCACGGGCGGGACGTTTTAATATCTAATTCGCCTTTTTTATGCTATTACTTATAATAATGTGGCCCGCAGAGCTACCTCCACACATTTAGCTATTATGCGATTGTAACTAAGGTTAATTTGCGGATTTTGCAATATTCTTAGACACAAAGTCAAGTGTGGTCACTTCTAGAGTAACAACCTGGAATGACTCACAGTTAATGACACTATTAATAATGGATAAGTATAATGCACAAGAGCCAAGGACTGTTAATACTATTAACAATGGAAACATAACATTATGTAGATATTGTCTATTTGGCGTGGGTGGGTGGGTCGTGGGTCGTGCGTCAGTAAATGACATTTAGCTATGCCACATTTCTATTAACTATGGCCACATTGACAAAAATGCTGGTAGATTAGCTGAACTTGTTGGTGGTTGAATTTAATTACAGTAATTTAACGGCGGATTACAAATGTTTTAGAAAAACAAGCACTAACCTCATTGGACATTGTATCAAATATCACACATGTTTCATCCGGTGCGGTAATCAATGCTAATATTAAATTAAGTAATATGCATTTTCAATTTGTAAAGCGGACACATCACAGGCTACTGATCACTGGCCTCACACTTTATTGAAAATATCACGCA